GTGTGCCTTGGCAGTCTGATTGAAAACAGCAGTGCCTCGGCTCAGCCTTCCTCCGGCTGCAGCAGAAAAAGAGCCTTGAAATCCTGCCTGCATCATCCCGCACAGGCCCCCAATGTGAAATATTTAGGTTAGCAACGTAGAGAAACAAGTACCTCTCTTTGAAATATTTAGACTATATACCCCATAACACTCAACCCCCACAACCGCTCCGCTCTTACTCAAACCCTGCCAGCTGCGTATCAATAATGCATCCTGTTTCGACAAGATAGATACATTTCAAAGTGGAGGCCGTGGTTGGTTGATTGGAAGTTGGATATGCCACAGACCAGTTTGGTGAGAGTTTGGGGGCCTTATATGTGATGGTTTAATATGAGGACATGGCTCCAAGCTAATTTCTCAGACATAACATGTTTTAAACAACAAAGAAAATCCGTCCCTTTGGTCAATTCACAAATGCCAAGAAAGCAGTTGTCAACATCTCATGGTGAGCTTTAAAACTGGACAGTATGTTCCAGCTTTATCTATTTAATTGAACAAAACTTTGAGATATTTTCTTCAAGATGTCAGATGGGGCTTTCATGTGCAACAATCAACATAAAATATGCCAAAGGAACAATAACGTGTGTGAAGATTTTGAAGGTTGCTGACTTACTAAGATGGATGTTTTTTCAAATGTTTTCCAATATCTGATCTACACCTTAGCTTGATCTCAGCTGCTGGTGGGTTTGTCTGTCTCCTCTTTAGTGTGTAAGGAAATCGTCCTTGATGAACAAAGTGCAGCCTGTAAATTGTTCTGATGAGGAGTTTCTGTGTACTTGTGAAAGAAGCCCTCTGTTCTTGCGGTCTCGCTGCTTTTCAGTTAAATTATTTGTCTCTGGTACCGCCACCGCCTTGAATGTAACACCAACTTTTGGCACGCTTCCCAGAAAATAATCTAGCAACAAGACTTTATCGAAATAAGTAGACTGTATTTTTCGGAGCCAGCACCCTCCTTTTGTATACGTACCTATTGAACCCTATTGTTGTTACTTTTCACTTTATCAAAGGCCCCTTTGTTAATTCTGCTAATTTATTCTCATACCACACAGCCACTTAAAAACACAAAGTCACAGCTTTTATGCTCGATGGAAGTATTTTAATTTAATTTTAAAGAGTCCTAATTAGGTGTCGGTTATGTATATACATAAAGGGAATTTCCTCAAAATACCAACCTCACTTTCCTTTTATAATAATTGAGCTCAAATGAAATATTTCATCAAATCTTTTTTTTTATTTTACCTGCAGGTATTACAGATTTTGCACAAACCTGGTATTTATGCTGGATTTCCGGCATTCATCTGTGCATGTTCTGCCAAAAATGAACAACTTGTACCAAACTGTAAAAACTCTAAGAACATTAGGCATGCCTCAATAATAATGAGGATCAGCTGATATTGGCCTTGTTGACTGTCATCCAATAAGATGACATAGCTAATGCACAACAACAAATAGGTTTTGGTATCAGCAGCCATCAAGCAAATCAACACTCTAAAGAACGTATTAGTCCATCATTTCCATTCTGCCAGATTTCTACCCAACCTACAAAGTCAGCAGTCGAACGTACCTGTATGTGATCACATTTGACATTTCAGCACTGACTACATATACAGTATACTGAGGATGAGGAGCTGCACAGTTTATGGAGGCCACGCGGTGGCTGGTACACTCAGACAGGCTGATGTCAAGACTGAACTGTTGACCTTTCAGTAATGAGTCCTTCTCTCTCCCCACCAGGCCACCTTAAAGCCCCTAACACACATCCACTATTCTTCCCCTGAAGGGCTCGCAGTACATATTGAAGGACACGGTACTTGAACACTGCATGGTAGATCATGAATTGTTAAAGTCGTGCCGAACGCGGCTAGTTCACTGCTCAAGGACAAATGTGAGGTCTGCACTGATACAGTTAAGGTTACAGAACAAGGCAATGACAGAATTATTAAGCAAATACTCATAGCTGTAGAATGTATACTTTTTCTACTTGTTGAAGCCTTTAGATTTGTATTATCATTTTGAATCCATTTCCAAAAGGTTTACATTTAAAGAGCACACTGCCCTGACATGATGAAAAAACTGGGTGTTTAATTCTGACTCCTGGTGGTTTAAGTTGAGAATATTTAGTCTGTTATCAATTATGTATAAAACTGTATAATTTTTATTCGTTATCATGCTCAGTAATGTCATATCATGTTGAGCTAACAGCTGAAAATAACCAAGATATTATTTTGGGGCATGTGGCCCAAAAAGGTTACTGACACAGTAAACGCATTGGATAAATTACCATCAATGCAACAAGCCTCACAGAATAATGTTTTGTCATCGACCACCAAGAATCAACCAACAGGAGATGGGATGATTATTTTCCACCACTGCTCGATTAATACAAGCACCGCAGCGTTACCTCTGATTGCCCAGAGTTTCTCCACAGGCTCTAATCATAAACCACAAATATGAGCCGGTGGAAATGTTACATACAGACAGCTTTTTTTTCCTTGACACCGGTGGCGGTAATCTGTTGACTGGATGGTCATCCTGCTGTGAGACGGATAGAGAAATAGAATGAAGTTACCGCTGCCGGGCACCTGCTGATACTGAGGTTAGATATAAGCCTCCCCCGTCTCAAATCTGAAACGTTGAAGGCTTCACACACCCCCAACCCTATGTGTGTGTGTGTGTGTGTGTGTGTGTGTGTGTGTGTGTGTGTGTGTGTGTGTGTGTGTGTGTGTGTGTGTGTGTGTGTGTGTGTGTGTGTGTGTGTTCCCTCCAGGTCTGTGTGTGAGAAACTGTAGCCTGGAGGCTCTCTCCTCAGTTCTTATCTCCCTGACAGACGTTACCCCTGCGTGGCCGCGGCCCATACAGTCACACCGATGGAGCATGAGCGGAGCTTTTTCTGTCATTTCGGAAACTTTCCATCAGATTTCCTCTGCTTTGTTTCTGATAGTCAGATATGTTTTGTATGCAGAGATAGAGCCATTTCCCAATTTCTTGTATCTCATCTTCAGGGGATAACGTTCATTGGGAAATCACTTGGCTGTGGAAATAAAACTCATCTGGATGAAAACATTGCCAGTGTTTCTTCCAATATTTAGATTCACCCGGGCTGTCTGAGTAACACAACAGATAACAGATCTGTAATTATGCAGACTCAAATCACAATGAAATTAAAAAAGGATTTCCACGCCATGGAAATATATTTGCAATTATAAAGTATTGAACATTAAACACCTCAACTTTCTGCCTTGTTTTTCTATTTAAATCAGTATTTTGTAATACTGTCCTTTTGTATTTCAGTATTCCTCAAACTTGTAAAGCATCAGCCCTTCAACCCCTTCTTTCAGCTAAAATCTAAGGAACTTTAATCGTAACAACATTGATTTGTTTACCCATGAAAACAATGATTGTTCTCATGGTTTGCTGAATGCCGTCCTATGTAATTTACTTTTTTTTCAAGAATTGTTACACTATAACCATCTCTTTGTGTGATCTTTTAGAACAAAATCACAAGACCCAAGCAAAATGGCATTTACCAATTAATTCTGTTCATTTTATATGGAGCATCACGCTTGTTAAAAAGCACACAAAGCCACATTATGCTGTGTTGTAGTGAAGCTCTGACAACACTGTTTAGGCAGCTTGGTGGGAACCGACCTTCACTAAAGAAACCCCTTTGTTAAATCACAGCTGAATGTGTGGGAGAAGACAGGCGAGCCCAACACAGGTAGGGATAATAATAGGGTACGAAAGAACAACAAAACAAGGCTTCAAAATGTTGTAAAATTATTTAAATAAACAAATATTAAACCACCCGTGAGTATCTGCAGAAAAATAAAACAAACAGCTCTTTTTTAAATGATTTAATACAACCATAGTTTGTCATCTCAGTGGATTTTCTGCATTTTTTTGAGTTTTGTGATAAGACATCTGCTGTGTTTTATATTTGGCAGTGGTATGGTATTAATATCCAAACTCATCGAATTCAGCCAAGAGTAAAGCAGTAGATTTTCGTCCACTCCTCCCACATCCATGAGCTGTTCAGCAGGAGGTCATGTTGCTTGCTTCTTTTTCTCCTGCATTTCGCTCAATCGGATGCTACAGTTTTGTGGCCTGGGGCCGAAAGTAGAGGAAAACTAAATCAGCTCGATCAAGACGTGAAGATTACTGTAGATGGGATGTGACTGGAAGTCTAAACAGGAGGCCATTTCCTGTCTGTTACTGTAGCAACACGTCTATAAGAGCTGTAGACACAGGCTAGTTGGCTACCAGTTAGTGTCTGTACATTACGTGTATGTGTGTGAGTGAGAGGGATTAAGAAAGAATGTTGTATGGTATGCTTAACCTGTATGCAACTTGGCAGGTTCTTATTAAAAGTGACAATGGATACTAAAACAGTATATATACAGTACTTATTCAGCCTACTATGGACCTTGGCGGTAAATATGCATAGTCAAAAGTGAAAAAACTCAACTTCTATCAAGCATGTAACACAATTCCTGTGAGCTTCATTGTATGTAAGCAATAACGCATCTCAAGGCGTCCTTATTTGAAACAAAGAAACTGAAACGAGAGAGCCCAAGAACAATGGAGGCAAAGGATATGCCACGTATTCAAGATTAAAGGTTTATTTGTCACATGCTCATTGAATATGTGCAATGAAATGCATGATGGCACACACTTAAAGCTGTCCTGAACAGGCTAGTAATAAAATAAAGAAAACGACACAGTTTGGTTCAACATAGCGTTCAGCATCTTTCTCAAATTAAATCCTTTTAACTCATAGTTGGATCCATTTTACTTACAGTCATGTATGAGGTCACATTACTGTAGGGGAAATAGCCAATCATAAAATGACATCCTGTTAGTGTTCCTTTAATTTCTCCTATTGACAGTGTATATATTGAGTTTTATTTTACAACTGTTCCTCTATGGCTCCACCCGTCTGTCAGGCAGAATGTGTGTTTCATTAAGCCCGTCCAGAGGTTGGCCCGGGGTTTATGTCCGAGAGAGTCAGTGCCAGAGTTTCCCCCCCAATGACTAGATCATCTGATTATTTTAAGCAAAGAACTGCATGGTCCAATTTGTCCGTGAGTGCATGTGTGAAACTGTGTGTTTGTGTGTGTGTGTGTGTGTGTGTGTGTGTGTGTGTGTGTGTGTGTGTGTGTGTGTGTGTGTGTATCTGCAAAGTGAGTATGCGCCTTTCCAGTGGACAGCTATCTCGCTTGCCGCAGGCAATCCAGGAAATGCTTCTCCAGTGGTCCCTTCAGATGTGACTGTGTGTGTGTGTGTGCGCGTGCGTGCGTGTGTGTGTGTGTGTATTTGAACTGCAACATCAGCCCCCAGCCCAGTGCCAGCTGAACTTCCCATGAAAGGACTGGATTTATAGGGGGGGGGGTGTGACGGTCAGAGGGGTAGAGGACAGAGGGGGTCATAGCCTCCTGCCAACTCACTCTTTCAAAACTATACTCCAAGTCATGAGAGTTTTTAAAGGACTTTCCTGCCGCTCTCCTCCCGCTGGTTGTGCTGCTCCCTCGCTCTCCTCACCCCTCTCCACCCACTCTTGCCTTTATCTCAGTTTTCTGGAACCTTTCTGTCTTTTTTTCTGCTGCCTACCCCACCCCTCCCATCCTCCCATGCAATAGTTTTCTCTTGCCAACATCCTCTTTCTCTGTCTCTCTCTTTCTGTGCACGGTGTGCTGGGCAGATCCAGCTGGCGTCCTAGCAACCAAGCAAGCCATGCATAGCTGGCATCATGTGCATTTGAATGGATGGGAGTTGATGGTGTGTGTGTATAGAGGTTACAACCTCTTCTCACATGCCACATCCACAAACAGCTGTGGCAAGGCAGATGTGCACGTGGTACTACAATTGAGGGTCCACTTCCGTAAAGCATTCAATGCATTCGCATTTCCAGATTCATGTTACGTAGTTCGCCCAGACCTCAACGGCAATTGTTTTTCTTTGTATTTCCTTAAAGACATATATATATATATATATATATATATAAATGTTTATATCAGCTGTAACACTGGATCCTCTCACACAAGCTCCTTTCAAATGTTTTGTTTTTTATTATGTTCTGTTGTCGTGTTCTTGGCAAACCAGCTAGAGTTGCATTGGCCACCACATACACTGGAAAGCGTAATGAAACTGGAGCATGCGCATTGGTGTGCTTGCTATGAGTACTGACAGACGAGAAAAAGGGGAACCTGACAAATCTGCGTTTGAGAAAATGTGAATTGGCGTTTAGGGAGCTGATTAATGCATTTTACTGTCGTCAGCAAAACACTTAAGAAAAACCTCTCCAGCTGTCTTACAGCAGTGTTCACTCCCTAGATACCAGGATACTTGAGACAGAAATTGTCTGTGTTTGTTGGGTGCACTCCCCAAAATGCCTCCAAGCACCACCCTGACTATCTCTTCTTTATTCCTATTCCTACCTTGCTCCTCGCATCTTTCTCTCCACTTTAGTCTCTTCTTCTCCAACCTCACCTTTCTTCCCCATCTTTTCCATCACATACAACTCGCATTCTCTGCATCCTTTAAGTCGTTGCCCCGGTGGAGGCTGAGGGGAAATCATGACATGTGACAGCAGCTTGACGGCAGAAGAAAAAGCCAGTGCGCGCTGTGCTTTCATCTACCATTTAACTGAACAGAGAGGAGCTGTTAACAGTTCTCAGCAGGGAAATTAGTGGGGTGTGCTGGGTCCGTGTACACAAAGTGCTCGGGTGTTAACCGTTACATTATTGAGAGCCGGGGCCTTTCAAGCCTGACAGTTTGGATCTCACGCTGAGAGCTGGATTCTATCACTAACGTTAATGGCAAGTGGTTTTTATTCGGGACACTCAGATGTTAACGGGACAGAAGAGTTTGGTTTTACTCGATGCAATGTGTTAAGGTAGGATAATGATGACGACTTCAATGCTGGAAAATATCAACTACAGTCCCAACCAACTCATCGGGAAGCCTCAGTATAGCACGGTTCAGTTGCACCGTGGCATACAGAGCCATGATTATAGGCATTGCGACTGCAACCGCACAGCAATGATATTATCAGCCTGCTTGGAAGAAGGTTAGCTGTGGCCGAGCAGTAATAGTCTTCTTTCACAGCTAAAGCTAGTGTTAAACTAATTATACATGCATTCAAACGGCTCGCTGCACCCGCACTGCGAGGGGGACCCAAGTTCCCATCTGCAAAAACACGTGGGTTTGCTATCCTGGCTCCAAAATGGTGGAATGAGCTCCCCATTGAAATCAGGACAGCAGAAAGCTTGCACATCTTCCGGCGCAGACTGAAAACTCATCTCTTTAGACTCCACTTCGAGCGATTGAATTACTAACAAAGCACTTATATACTAATAAAGGGCTGGCTTATCTAAAGCCAGTTGAGTAGCACTTGAAATGTTTTAGCTCGATGAAACCTGATGTACTTACTGTACATTATATGATTCTGTTTTCTTCAAGTTTGTATCTTGTTGGTCGAATGCACTTATTGTAAGTCACTTTGGATCAAATTGTCAGCTAAATGCAATGTAATAATGTAATGCATGGTACAGCACATGACAAGTGAGCAAGTACGGTTTCAAAATGTCTTTCTATGTTTGGCTCTAAGTAATCTCTATCTACTAGGAGAGTTCTACTGTTGAACCACTGGAAACCTTTTTGTGTGAACCAGCTGGAGAAAATGCTCTGCACCAAGTTTCACCTGGGCCTTGGTTCCCAGTGTCATATGTTCAAGTTACATTTTAAGGGATTGGTTAAGGGCAATCTCCGCAATATAAATTGCAAACAAGAGGAGACATGGACGTGACGAATGAATGGTGAGCTTCCATTCAGACACTCTGGAGATCATCAATGTCCAAAGCAAAAAGAAAGAAAATGACCTTGCCCGCAATCATGTAACCAAAGGTTTCAAAGAGTGTAAGCTGTATGTGGTTGACGTAAAAATATTGACCTATAGACAAGTACATTGCTGAGAACATAAAACCATAAAAGTTAATCAAGGTTGGAGGTGCTTTGTCAACGGTGAGCTCAACAAGAAGAACAAATATAGGTCTACTTGACAGCATATAACTATTGCAGTGCTTTCAAATAATGGAAAAATAAAGACAACACTCATTTTCTGGGCCAGACTTCCAACACAGACAGGCGGTATTCAAGACACATGACTAATTGGTTCAATGGGTTCACTGCTCAGACTGCTGGTGTGTGCTTTAATTAGTAAATCACATTTTGAAAAATTAGTTGTTGGGCCATTTATAAAAATCATATTTTAGAAAGGGGAATCTAATGATGTCATTGCTTTGTGATTCACTACTAGTGGCAGACTGGCCATATGGAGTGTTGGGAGTTTTCCTGGAGGCCGCCTTCATATTTGGACCATTGCAAAATAAATAGTTTGTAAATAGTCATCGGGCTGTGGACCTGCCGGGGGG